GTCACTATGATTTACATAACAGAACCATACGCTGTAGACAACGGAACAATGTACAAATCTGTGCTGCAAATATATATAAAACATATAATAAGAACGAAATTCAAACATAATGTTGCTTATTATGTAGATGCTGGTGATAATGAAGCGACATCCTAATGCAAATGGGAGTTTGGGAGGCCCCTGGTGCAATGACCAGCGAAGGGCTCATGTAAGGTACACAATACAGACAAACTTCTCCTTGATTTTCCAAGGTGATTGATACACTAAACACGTACTCTATTTAATGTATTATATTCCATTTCTGCCATTTCATTGTGCATGAGCACAATATAAACAACCATGTAGCTCTGAAACAACATAGGCTACATGTTGTTTTAGAGCAAAGACGCTGATTCGCCATGGTAACATTTTACTTCATTTGATTTTGATCTTTGGATGCTATTTGCAGACTATTAGCAAATAAATGAATGCGCACATTGAGACAAATATATTGTCTGAAGTGGTTCTTTTATTTGGTAGAGGCTCCTCTTCATCAAAGTTCATAGGACGTAAATATGTTGGCTTTTATTGTGCTTCTCCCATAGGCTTAAATAGAACTGGAACCAAAGTCTGGGACAGAAAGCATTAGAATGTTGGTGTAGTGAAAAGTTGTATAATATGATCAAATAAGTTGGTGTTACGATGTAAAGACACTTCGTTATTTGAGCTCAGCCTGAGTCATGTCCAACTTTGGTAAGCTAGCTAGCATGTAAGTTACGAGCTCGCCTCCATGTCTTCCTCAGTGAACTGACAGCTCAGTGAGCCACAGGAAGTCCGGTTGTTATTTCAAAACAACAAATTCATGTCAGTCGTTTTTCTTTTCTTTTTTCTTTTTTTGCCTTCACGTCTCTTATAACTCTAAATAAAGCTGTTACGTAGTTACATTTTGTGGTTTCATTATTAGCTCAACCTTCCTTTTAGTGACAGTCCCCATGTACTGCCACATGCTTTATACAGGTTTACACACTTATTCAACATTATAGCTTAGCTTAGCGGCTCAATAGCCGCATCATTAGCTACCTCTGCTTAGCATTAGCTAACGTTACCACACATACATACAGTAACGTTGGCGTTAAGTTAACTACACAGCTACATGCCGGTTTTAGCCCCATGACTTGCCTCCAGGTCCACCCAAACCATTCTCTGGGACATCTCGGTGGACGACATGCTTATTCTTCTGCACACCGGAACGTCACAAACGGAACGGAGTGTGGAAGTAACGTCGGTGGCTGTTCCCGGTGATGTGAACGGGGTTAGCACACGGCTGTACGCTCCTTTCTTCTGGAACAAACTACTGCAGTGGGAGTGATATGCTGCCTTGCTGGACCGGAGGACGAGCGGTCTCCTCCTGCAGAGACACTCCAGGGTAACAAGAGCCCATGCTGAGGTCCGCAGACACACCGGCATCCTAGGTTCACTTCCGATCTGAAAAGTCGTAAAAACCTAACCCCATCGTCCCCCATCTACATGAGTAACATAACCATCCACGAGAGGTCGCGCTTCTGTAGCGATTCTTTAATCAACTTCTGTCATAACACACAGTACAAAAATACTGTAATGTAAGGAGGACAAAGGCCCAGCTGTGGCATGTTGGCAGCTACCACCCCAGGTACTGTCAATTGCTATCAAATGTAACACATCAGTTTCAGAATTAGTTTGGAAAAGAACGGAATGGGGAAATTAATGTGAATGATCTGCCGAACCCATTTTATAACGGAAGCTTAAAGTCTGTGCAAGGGAAATCCATAAGCTTCTTTCTCAACACTTGTAGGCTATATGTTAGAAAAATAAATTGCTGAAAACATTATAAAAGACTGTAAACAGTGTAGTCCTGAAATGTGAAGTTAGGCTGTTAATTCATTTTCATCAGTTTTGGGTTTAGGATTAGAAATTATGGCTGGATGTCACACTGGAGCCATATTTAACATGACCCCTCCCCTAACACTATAACAGTATTGAAACATTAACAATTAAAAGTTAATTAAAGTTTTCCCACATAGAAAACATTTTAAAAA